AAAGTGCGCTGTTTGTTGTTCTTTATTATTATTGCTGTTTCGATGATCTTGGAATCCGGTTAAGAAAAGAGAAATAAAAGGGTGCACAATAGTTTTTTTAGTTTATCGGATTGAAGTGCCTACTAATTGCTAAGTCGCAGATTCGGCATTCATCAACTGGAATTAAACTAAGATGGAACTTTATGTTTTTCTAACATCAAGAAATATGGTCCACGTCCAGTCCAGTATCTCATTTGTTAAATGTCTTTAGTATTTTGATTATAATGCATGAAGGAGACCTCAATTTTAATGAGTGAAAGTTGTCAATGGTTTTAAAAAATTTGGATATATATATATTTTTATTTATTTACTCTTTGTTTTTTTTTTAACAGCAAAAGACTATTTATTATTGAAATGAGTACAAGGGGTACTCAACCCATTTTACACTATTTAGAAGACAATCAAGAGATCATTACTTAACTACCGACCCTTCCTTTGATGACTTTCCCTCTTCCACACCTATCTTTCATGCATTCAACAGGATTAAGTAGCCAATCAGATAAAGTAAAGGCATACCTGTCATTTCTTGCTTTAACCCATATGAAAGACCTCAATTGGATTAGTTCAAACAACTTCCTCTCATTTATCTCTTTGTGTTGGAATAACTTCTGATTGCGAGCAAGCCACACAGTCCACACAACCGTACTCCATATACAGTCCCATCCTTGTCTGGTTCGTGGCTCTTTGCTCCATTCTCCAAATTTTTCAAAAGTCTTCGAACAGTCATTATCGAGTTTTGCCTTGGCCCCCCACCATTTGGCGCATGCCTCCCACAGCCATCGGGTCATCCTGCACCTTAAAAATAGATGTGCTGAGTCCTCTTCTTGTTCTTCACATGTAACGCACTTGCTCTCCCCCATGTCTTTAACTATCCCTCTTCTCAACAAATTCACCTTGGTTGGTATTCTATCCAACATTAATTGCCAGTTGAATGCTGATACTTTGGTCGGGAGAGTTGGGTTCCATATTCTTTTGAATATTGTAGATCCACTTGGTCCTCTTTGATCAATTGCTAATAGGTGGTACGCTGTTTTTGTTGACTAATGTCCCTCCTTGTCGTGAATCCATTCCCATTTGTTGGGGCATCCTTGAATAATCTTGATGCCCTCTATCATTCTTTCGAGTTCAGCGACCTCTCCAGCTTCCCATTCGAATAGATTTCTTCTGCATGTTAGCTTCCATTCCCATGATCCACTCCTTATGTTACCCATTTGATTGCATGTACTCTCTTTTCCTGTTGACAGAAGATACAGCCTAGGAAATTTATTAGCAAGGCATCCCTCCCCTCCCCAACTATCCCACCAAAACCTGGCTAATTTTCCTTCCCCAATTTTCATTCTAAAGCCCTCCGTTATCCATCCTACACTCTCCACTCATTCACTATATTAAGGCAGCACACATCTCTCCACCATAAAGATCCCACTCCATTGTTTTCTTTAATCCAGTCCATCCAATGTTTCCCTCCCTTACCATATTTCGCTGCAATTATTTTCTTCCATAGTCCCTCATCTACTTTTGCTAAATGCCCCCACCATTTCCCCATCAAAGCCAAATTAAACTTCCTCAATTCTCTCACTCCCAACCCTCCATTATCTTTGCTTTTACACACATCCCCCCAACTTACCCAATTTATTTTCCTCTCCTCCGCCCCCCCACCCCATAAAAAACGTTTACGAATTTTTTCAATGGAATGGAGTGAACCTTTTGGGATTAAGTAGGCTGACATTAGGAACACGAGCAGAGGAGACAACACTGAATTGATGAGCGTGATACGACCTTCCATAGAAAGGTGTCGGCCCTTCCAGCTAGGTAGTTTCTTCTCAACTGATTGTACCATTGGTTGCCACATTGATGTCCTTCTGTTGTTCCCCCCAATTGGGATTCCCAGGTATTTAAATGGTAGTTCCCCTTCTTTACAGTGCAATCTGTATGCCATTTCTGTTTTCCAACTCCCTTCTACTCCCACCCCCATTAATTGGCTTTTTCCGAAATTGATCTTTAGTCCTAAAGCCAACTCAAAGGTCCTCATAATAGCCTTCACTGCTCTTATGTTATGTTGCGATGCCTCCTCGAAGAATACCGTGTCATCCGCAAATTGTAAATGTGACACCATGACACCTTCACTCCCTACCCTCACTCCTTTATATATTCCTTTTTCCACTGCTGAGGCCACTAAACCATTCAACCCTTCTGCCACTATCAAGAAAAGAAATGGCGATAGCGGGTCTCCTTGTCGTATGCCTTTGCTAATCGAGAATTGTTTTGTTGGACTTCCATTAATAAGAACAAAAACTGAACTTGAGCTTAGGCACTCCAATATCCATTTCCTCCATATTTCATTAAATCCCATCCGCAATTTATTTACTCTTTGTTAATTAAATTTTATTCCCCTTCTTTTATTGAATCTGTTTTTGTCTAATAATTGAATTGCCTCAAAATTTAAATATGTGGTAATTGTATTTATACGAATAGAGACAGAG